ATCCTCATAAATCTGGAAAATTCATCTACAAAGGTTATGTAGTACTAGTACCATTCTACAGATTGTATTGGAGATGGTCCCCATACATCTGAATGAACTTTCTCAAACATACACTTAGCTCTATCTTGTCTAATTGGAAATACTGGTCTACACATTTTTTCTTTTACACAAGAAGAACACATAGTTGGGCAAGAATCTTTTCTAGTAGTAATATCAGCAGCCTTCAACACTGTAGCCAAAACCTCCTCAGATGGATGTCCTAGCCTTTGATGCCAAATTTTTGTCCTTACTTTCTGTCCCAATAATGTAGCACATCTACTCAACCTTGTAGCAAATGAATTATCAAACACACTCACTGGAATCTTGAAAAGTTCCCTATCATCACTCCTTCCTTTGTACAAAATCACCTTTGTGGCCTTGTCCTATATAAAGAAATCCACATCATCACAAATAAACCAGCAGCCATTATCTTTGCATAATTTCTTAACAGAAAGAAATTGACAGTTATTTGAGGCACATGCAAGACATTATGCAAAATTAAAGCATTATTAGGAGTCATAATTGTTGAAGAGCCAATATTCGTGACTGCCAAACCTTCATCATTTCCAATTGTTATTTTCTCGTCTCCAGTGTAAGGATTAACTTGAGAAAGAGCATTGACATTAGGAGTCATATGGCGTGTAGCACCAATGTCTAGGATCCAAGTATCTCTATTTGAAATCCCATGTCCATTATTCTATGGTGCATTCTGTCCAATATTAGCTTATGCAGTCATTGCAGTCAGTGATGGAGGTGGTGGATTACCCTGATACGCAAAATTATTTTGATGATAACATTCCAGTGTGTTGGTACCATATATTGGGCCTCGTTTTTTTGTCTCATCCCTAAGCCCATGACAAATGTAAAAGGGGAGAGAGCCCTTATTTTATAAAATCCCTCACCCTCATGAAAGGGATGAAGATTCAAAGTCTCACATCCAGAAGCTCCAAAGAGTCTCAGACTTAACCCTCAATACCCTCTTAGCCAAATAGAGAGCAAAATGGCAAGGGCTGCATCCACAGAGAGCTCCCTTGCCGATCTATTGTAATCCATACGTACATACATAATTAACAACAGTGTAGACGTAGCTCAAATATTGTGGTGAACCACGATACATCTTTATGTTCTTTAGCGTTTGTGTGATTCACGGTCGGATTTACGTTGGTCCCAGATCCTCCGGATTTTGTGCATCAACACAGTGCAATATGTCCTCTTTTCCCACAAATCTGGCAAACAATGAAACCTGTATTACCAATGTCAGTTCTATGATAGTAATTAGCTGCAGTGTGTCATCTCCTAGAACATATTTGACACTCAGGTGAGATACCAAATCTATAAGTTGTATTGTCATTCCAAGCATTGTTCTTCTGAAAACCACTACCACAAAAATTACTTCCATTCTGTGACTGAAAACTTCTGCCATTGCCAGAGAAACTGCCATTAAAACCTCTGTTTTTACCTCTGTGACCAAATTGATTTCCATTTCTTGAACCATTATTGTAATTGACATTGCCATTATATTTTCTATTTCCCCCAGAAAAGTTGCTCTTCTGTACAGATTTGTTGCCATTCCCCATAAAACCAGAACCTCCATGAAAACCAGACTGTTCTTCATCATATCCCCCTTGATACCTCTGAGAATTTGAACTTTCACCAGCTTCGAAACTGTTATGACCACCTTGGAACTCATTGGAACCAAATCCTTCTCCTTGAACATACATTGCAACCATGGATGTGCTTAAAGATTTCATTCTTGACCCAATGCTAGCCTATGCACCAAGAAGTTGAGCCCTCAAATCTTTATAAGATATAGGAGAATCCTGAGCCAATATAACAGTCCTTATCATTTCAAACTCAGGGGGTAATCCAGATAGCACAGCTATAAGAAAATCATTCTCAGTTATCCTTTCTCCAGCAGACACTAGTTGATCTTTAATTGCTTTAACTTGTAACAAAAATCTATCCACTGACTTTGCACCTTTTTTAATAGTGTGAAATTCACTCTTCAATTGATTAATTCTGATCATGGAGACAGATGAAAACGTTCTTGTAAACAAGTCCAGGCCTCATATGAAGTCTTAAAACCAATAATGTGCTCCATAACATCATCAGATAATGTAGCAATAAGAAGACTAAGCAATGCTAGATCTCTCTTCACCCAATCTTTATACGCCATAGTGACTTCTTTAGTAACCCCTGTCTTTGTATCAATAACAAATCTCGGAGGACATGGAGCTTCTCCCGTGAAATGATCGAAAAGGTCATAACCCCGAAGAACAGAATGAAACTGAAAACTCCATTTGACGAAATTATCATCCTCAAGCTTCACAATGAGCGTACCAAGCAATCCTTCAATCTTGACACTAGATTCCGCCATTAGAACCAAAATACAGATAATATTGATACAGAAAATTATACCACAGACAAACAAGACTTGTTCTTGAACATCAAATATACTACCTTTCTTATCTTTTGGCTATCGGCCTTTGTCAAAATTCACCAAATCTTGATCAAATAATGGCTATCGACCTCAGATGAGATGAGCTCAACAATGGCTATTGGCCTTTTCAATCATCTAACAATGGCCATTGGCTTTCAAACTTTCAGAAAAATAGCAGACATTTTTCGACTAGAACATAACGCAAATAGATGGTGTGCACTGTGGAATCAAAAAGAAAGAACCTAATATGAATGGAAATCTGGACCTTTGAGCAGAAAAACCACCATCAAACTTCAACCGATCGCAAGGAGTCGCACAGCGGAATTGAGCCCGAGAATCAGCCGGCTCTGATACCATGATAACAGTGCACAGAAAATCAAAGAAAACCAGAAAAACTTGGAGACAGAGAGAAAGAGAATTGTAGAGGGAAAACAAAGGAAATAGATTTTCTGTGTATAAGCTTTTGATGTTAGCAGCTCTAACTAACTAACTGCCGTTCTTAACCGTTTTCCACATCAGCACCATTTTAATCCTTTGGACCATACTACCCTTTTTATACTAGTCAATAGTATCCACACCCAAAGCTGACGATCAATAGAAGATTGTTTTGTACCCTCTGGTCCATTACATTCATTGCCTTCACGGGCAGCGGCATCATTATCTCTATTTGGTTGGCCAAAAGGCCATCACATATAGTTCACAGAAGCAATTGGTTTTGAAAGAGGTTCTCCCAAATGATGAAGCTACAGAAAATGGGTCATATAGTCAGTAAAAGAAAAGTGCAGTAGGATAACTTACCATAGCATTATCATATATGAGACCAGAAATAATAGAACGGGAAACATTTTCAAAACGAGTTGACAGGGGAGGCACCATTACCATGCCTAACACTGATAGTAACGAATCCTGGATGCATATGAAAAATGTCGTAACATCATAATTTAGTAGCAGAAAAGAACATAGTACAACACTTTACCTTTTGAAGAAAAATAAATTAAAGGGTATACAATTTCCTAGCAATGGATTCATAAGATGGGAAGTAAAGTAAATGCTTGCCTCTGGACCCTCCAATTGGATAGCTGCATGATAGCTTGCATTATGAACAAGCATTCCATCCTTGCACCACTTCAAGACAGCTCTGGACCCTCTTCCTCTACATTTTATTTTATTTTATAAATTAGATAACAAACAAATTAGTATATATCGAAACATAACAAATAATACGTGAAAAGTAAGGAATAGCACTGTTAAATTAATAATGTGTTTTACCTGCCCTGCAAACCCAAGGGAAGGTTGTAACCCCAAAGCTTTGTCATTGTGAACCGCTTCGCATGCCAAACATGTGTTCTAAGCCTCCTTGTACCATCCCCTGATGTGCTGAAATCCTTTTCAAGGTTCATTTTAAGCTCAGCTCTCCTACGAATGTGATGAGGAACATTCTTCTTGTCATCTTTCTGTAGGCAACATCAAAGCATTACTCTGATCAAGTTTTCACTTCTTTCTACATCTTTTTATGGCGGCTTGATTGTCGTAAGCAGTGGTTCTTCTTCTCTTGCTTCTCCGAAACTGGAAATCATTGTTCATTCTGTTAGATACAATTGAATGGAGCGTCTCAAGCTCTGAACCCCGTGATTTTGCAAACTTTTGGACATTGATTTTTCGAGGTGAAGCTGATGAAACCTGTTGCCATCTGAAACCATCGGTAGCCATTAGACACAATTAAACCCCTCAGATGAATAACAATATTATACAAGTCCGCCACACAAAATTATATCGCCTCTTCACTCTTCGGACATCATTGGTCTCTATTCGCAGTACTAGTCTATTACTCTAAAATGTCCAAAAACAATTTGTAAGATTCTTCAAAGCTTAGCAATCGCAATTGTGGTTCCAATTCCAATTAAATATAAAGTTGGAAACAATAGAAGACATGGGATACGAAATTCAGTCTAACTAACATCAATGATACAACAACTTCAACTTTACTTTTGAAAACCAATATGTGAAGACACAAAGATAAATATATAAAGATTGAAACAAAGAAAACTATAAGATAAGAAATTCTGAATGCAATAGGGGTGGGCACTTGAAACTGAAAACCGAAACCGAAACACGAATCGAATCAAACTGCACCAAACGGTTTGGTTTTGCGGTTTTGAAACGGTTTCGGTTTCAAAACCGAACCGCGGCACACAAAACGGTTTGGTTTCGGTTTTGGGTTTTCAAAACCGCACCGAAACCGAAACCGCACCATATAATAAATAAATGTTATATTTTAAACTTTTTAATTTTTAATTAGTTTTATAGATTTGGTTTTGCGGTTTTGGGTTTGCACTTCGACTCCTGAGTGAGTCCTGACTAGTCTGTGTCTGACTGCTTCTGCGCCGCCTCCTTGCATCTCCGCCTCTACCTTGCCTTTTGGTCACCAAGCTGCTTCTGCTTCCATCTCTGCAATCTGCATCTCTGCGTCTGCCTCTGCGAGCGACTGCCTGCTTGCATCTCTGGAAGCGGTGGAAGTGATCGGTGACTGCCTGTTGGTTGCATTTGTGTTTTCAGTGGTGTCCAGACAAATCGTCTGTCTTTGGAAGTTCTGCAGAGGATGGTCTTTTAAACATTTGGGATTATGAGAAGGTATATTGGCCTTCATAATGTACCGTGGTTTTATTTTGTGTTAATCTAGTAATTTTCAAATTTTTTCTTGATCTATTTTTTGACATAACAAACGAAGTGTTTCCAAATAAATGGAGTTTCGGCTTTTCTATTCCTCTTCCCATAACTTCAATCAGATGGAAGTTGTTATAACTTATGAAAACATAATACGCTGCAGGTCGGTAAGGAGCGAACTCCAAAAGGCCCAACTTCTCCACCTGGCCTGTTTTTCCAGCATGCTGGGCACAGGTTCGAGGCTCTCTTTTACTAACATTATTTAAACATACTTTACGATTCCTTTTCAAACTTTTGATGTCTGGTAGAGGATCTTTTCACCCTTGATTTTCAACTTTCTGGTTTTCGGAAATTGTTTTACGTCCCACTCTTGGATTTCTATCTTTCCTGGTGTCTCTTGTATGGGCGCCTGAGTCTATAATTGTGCCCATGCCACTATATAGTACTTTTTAAATATGTTCTTGTGGTCAGTAAACTGAACATGATGCTGTTTGTGTCTATATATCCATCACTGGAATATTGAGGTTAATCTTTGCATCAAATGTTGATCGGAAGTTTTGCACTGGACACGGTAGTGCTTTAGAGCCTTTATTTATCAAGTACCTTATTGCTTATACGCTTCTAGGTCTTTTAAAGTTGTTTGAAGTTTACACATGTTAAAAATTACCTGGTAAACAGTTCTTGAAGTTTACTCATGGGAAATATGATCCCTTATTGTATCATTTGGTTGAATTGTCGGGCACTTTCTTTTCTTAAATTTTCCTTGTAGTTTGTTGTTCATGGTTTGCTTAACTTTATAACTGTATACAGGGACAAGGTTGTTGATTTTCATTGGAATGCATCTGATCCATGGACTGTTGTCAGTGTGTCTGATGACTGTGATAGTACTGGCGGAGGGGGTACATTGCAGGTATCGGAATGTTTGTTCTTGTCGTTGTTGAAAGGGTTTCATTTTTCGAGTCATAAAATCATTTCTAAGAATATTTCATAAGAGTACATGTGAAAGCTGAGGGAGCTATTTTCTGCAGTTTTTGCTGCAGGTTTGGTGAAGTTTTTGGTGTTGTCTTGCTGCTATTTTCTGTGTTTTTTATGCAGTTTGGCTGCATTTTTTTGGCAGTTTTGGAGCTGTTTTTTGCTGCATTGTTGTTGCTTGTTTTTGGTGCAATTTTGCTGCATATTCATTAATTAATATACAAGGAAAATAAAACCGTCTTATGCATAAATATGTGTATATTTTAAATTGTACATTTTTTTCTCAAAAACCAAACCGAAACCGTTTGAAACCGCACCGAACCGAACCAAACCAAACCAAACGGTTTGGTTTCATTTCGGTTTTGGCTTCAAAACCGCACCGTACCGCACCGCAAAAAGTTTCGGTTTCGGTTGTGGTTTCACTCCAAACCGCACCGAACCGCACCGCGCCCACCCCTAGAATGCAATGTGAGCAACAAAATCAATTACTTGGCACTACCACTGCAGGAATTTAACAAAAGAAACTCCTCGCATCAACCACCAGTTGCGTTTTGTGTATCGAAAATCACCAGATATGCTCACTAATTCATACTAATAATTAGTTTAAAAACAGAAACAGAAGCAAAATAAGAACAAGGATGCAATGCAGTGCAGAGCGAACTGACCCGAAAATTATGTGAGATTGCGAAATTATCGGAACTGAATGGCTTTGGATTTGCGTTTCAGCTTCTGGTTATCTAGAGGTAGACGTCACAAAACTATATATCACCAACGAGAGCGAGCAGCAAGAATAAGGTTAAGGCTAAATAGCCAAAATGGTCCTTGAGATTTGCATAATCAATAGAAATGGTCTTTGATATTGAAAATCAATAGAAACGGTCCCTGAGATTGTTCATTGTCGATGATTTTGATCTTTCCGTTAAAAACTCTTTGGGAAATTTTCAAAGTTTTGTAACTCAATCGTTTATTAACCAAATTTCACCTATAATATATCAAAATGAAGATAGGAAAGTGTAAAACAAAGATTATACATATTTGATTAAGAAATGACTGAGTTACGAAGATTTAAAAATTGCCCAAACTATCAATTTGGAATTGAAGAATACTACTATTTCATCTTTTTGTACAAATGAAAACAGCTATTATATGTACATACAATGATAGCACGCATGCAATAATTAAATATAAAAACCAATGGGCATCCTTGCTGCCCATGATGTAACTGACACGCCCATGATGTGTATCCACCATGTGCAAACCTTTGCTGACAAGGATTTTGGTATCCACATGCAACTGTCCAAACTGTCCAGAATGTGCATCCACATGCTACATTCCTGCTGTCCACTTTGTACAGATTGGGTGATTTCTTTTCCTTTAACACTCCCCCTCAAGTTGGAGCGTGAATGTCAATGACGCCCAACTTGCCTAGATGTGTATGAAAAATAGGAGCGCGAAGTGGCTTGGTAAACAAGTCTGCGACTTGTTCTCCTGTTCTGACATAAGAAGTTTTAATTTCTCCCTTTTCGATCCTCTCACGAACAGTGTGGCAATCGATCTCAATATGCTTTGTGCGTTCGTGATACACAGGGTTTGCAGCTATGTGTAAAGCCGCTTGGTTGTCACAAAATAACCTTGCCGGTTGGGGATGCTCAACACGTAAATCTACCAATAAATATCGCAGCCAACTCAATTCACAAGTAGCTGTAGCCATAGATCGATACTCCGCTTCAGCTGAGGAACGGGCTACTGTAACTTGCTTCTTGCTTTTCCAGGACGCCAATGACTTTCCAAGGAAGATACAATAACCAGTAACTGATCGACGGGTAATTGGGCAACGTGCCCAATCTACATCACAGTAACCAATTAAATTCAATTCACTTTGGGAAGAGAACATCAAGCCTTGTCCAGAGGCTCCTTTGAGGTATCGAAGAAGTCGATACACTGCATCGAGATGATGTCGTTGTGGATCTTGCATGAACTGACTTAACGTGTTGACAGTGTATGCTATCTCTGGTCTTGTGATGGTCAAATAAATTAATTTTCCAACCAAGCGCCTATACCTCGCAGGTTCATGTAGTGAAGTGCTACCTGCGGGAATTAGGACTAAATCGGCCTCCATTGGGACCTTCGTGGGTTTGGCGCCAAGAAGGCCAGCCTCCTCCAATATGTCCAATGTATATTTTCGTTGACAGATTGTGACTCCAGCTTTCGATCGTGCGACCTCAACTCCAAGGAAATATTTCAGAGGTCCAAGATCTTTAATTCGAAATTGACTGCTGAGGAAGGCCTTTAGGTTCTTGATTTCTGCCTCATTGTTGCCTGTAATCACCATGTCGTCAACGTATAATAATACAATAGTGAATGAAGTACCTTTGACTTGAGTGAACAGAGAATAATCTGCCTTGGATTGGCAGAAACCAATGGTACATATTGCTTTAGAGAATTCTCGAAACCAACTTCTGGATGCTTGTTTAAGACCATATAGAGATTTGTGGAGTCGACATACGACATTCTCCCCCTGTCGACGACAACCCGGAGGCGGCAACATGTACACCGCCTCATGAAGTTCGCCATGCAAAAATGCATTTTGGACATCCATTTGATGTAAGGGCCAATTGCGAACAGCAGCCACAGTCAAGAGGCAACGCACAGTGATGAGTTTGGCTACTGGTGCAAAAGTCTCCTTGTAGTCGATACCTTCACGTTGGGTGAAACCTTTGGCAACGAGACGTGCTTTGTAGCGTTCAAGAGTGCCATCAGATTGGTACTTTAGTTTGAAAACCCATTTGCAGCCAATGGATTTTTGGCCGGGCGGAAGAGGAACAAAATTCCAGGTATTATTTTCTTCTAGGGCTGTGAGTTCGGCCTGCATCGCTGCAACCCAGTGAGGATTTTGGCAAGCCTGCTCGTAGGTATTTGGCTCCACCAAGTGTGAAATATGAGAAACAAAGCGTTGATACCCAAGAGATAAGCAGGAATAGGAAACATACCGATGCAGTGGGTAGCGCGTGCTGGACATGGACTGAGAGAGGGCCTCTGAGGACGTGAGCAAGGTGGAGTGATGAGCCACATAATCTTTGAAGTGAGCAGGTGGTTTGGTGGGACGGGTGGAGTGACGGAGTGAGATTGGGTGAGGAGTTGGTGGTGCAGGTGGCGGAGAAGAGGAAGAACAGGTAGTGACAAGTTCTTGTGGCATGTCGATGGTGGCAGGTACCATTGGAAGGCTTGAAGGAGATGTCATGGTGGCAGATTCATGTGGGGTGTTGATGATGGTAGGTGCTATGGTGTCAATGGTGACAGGTTCATATGGTGAATCAAGCACCGTTTGAAGTAGGCTTGGTGAGGAGTCGATGTCTTGTGTTGGATGAATAATGGGAGCAACATATGAGTCGGTTTGGTCTATAGGTGATGAAGAGGTGTAAGGGAAGATGTGCTCATGGAAGATTACATCTCGTGAGGTAAAAAATTTCGTGTGGCTAGATCATATACCTTATAACCCTTTTGGCCAAGAGGATAACCAAGGAAAACACAACGACGAGCACGGACATCAAACTTATGGGTGGGTGTCATATTGGTGACATAGCTGAGGCATCCAAAAACACGTAGGTGGGTATAAGTTGGTGGTGTGTTATGCAAAAGTTCGTATGGTGACTTATGGGAGAGCAAGGGTGTAGGTAGACGATTGATGAGATAACAAGCAGTCTGAATACTTTCTCCCCAAAATTGTAAAGGTAAGTTGGCTTGAAACCGAAGAGCACGACCAACATTCAAAAGGTGCCTATGTTTACGTTCGACCACCCCGTTTTGTTATGGTGTGTAAGGGCAAGAATGTTGAAAAAATGTGCCACATGATTCTAGGTAGGAACGTATGGAAAGGAACTCACTACCATTATCCGCACGGAGAGCTTTAATGCCATGTTGAAATTGTGTTTTGACCCAAGAGAAAAAGGATTTCAATATTGTTTGTGTGTCGGATTTGAAATTCATAAGATGTACCCAAGTAAAACGAGTGAAATCATCCACAATAGTAAGAAAATATCGTGCCCCAGTGTGTGTTTGATTTCTGTGAGGCCCCCAAATGTCACAATGAATCAGGTCAAATGGTGCGAAAGATTTGATTTCACTGTTATGAAATGGTAGACGGGTTTGCTTTGCTAAAGGGCAAACTTCACAAATGTGTGTGGAATCAAAAATTATTTCAGCATGATTTTTGGCTAATGAAAGTAAAGGTGCGGCCGATGGGTGTCCAAGACGCTGATGCCATAGACTAGTGGTAAGATGGATGTGGTGGACAAGGTAAGGGTTTTGTCTTGGTGTAAGATAGTAGAGCCCATCAAAATGCTTGCCCAGGCCAATCACCCTCTTCGTGTCCATGTCCTGCACAACACAAAAATTGGGATAGAACGTCACTTTACAATGCAAAGCTCTTGTCAATTTACTAACAGACAATAAATTAACACGAAACTTTGGTACATGAAGAACTTTATCAAGAGAGAGATCTTGTGACAATCTCATGGAACCAATATGTTTGATTTCTGCTTGCTCCCCATTTGGTAAGCCAACGTACTCATGATGAGCATCAATGATGCTTTGTGTTGGTGACAAATGCGATATATGGTCGGTTGCTCCGCTATCAACAATCCAATATATACTCGAGGGTGGATCTGTTTATGCTATGTTGCATTTAGGTGAGAAAATACCTGTTGCATTTGCAAGTGGTTGATCTTTACCGTTCTTATTGTAAAGGAGAGCCATGAGTTGACTGTATTCCTTGGTTGTGAATGTTGGATTGTTGGCAGTTTGCGATTGAGGTGCTCGCTGACCATAGCCTTCTGGAGTGCTAGGTGACTGAGCAGTTTGTCCATAAACTGCAGGATTTGCAAGAGTCTGTCGTGCTGGAGGTGCTCCATATGCAGTGCCATATGCGGGCTGAGCCGATGGTTGGCTTCCATAACCAGTTTGAGCAGTTGGCTGCCCAGTTCTCTTGTTGTTCATGATGAATGTAATTTCTTGATATTGGGTATTAGAAAGTGATCTACGCCAAGTAGAATGATTATCTCCATCGGAGACGAGAACGTGAATAGAAAAATGGATTGGATGCTTTTGGCTTGTATCCATCTTGTAAGGCTGATTTGGTTGCTGCCTGCTTCCTCCTTTATTTTCTGCTTCGGTGGCACTGGTTTGAGTGAAGCTGAGTCGGCGGAGCAGTGACGTAATGAATGCTTAGCAGGTAATGCAGCGACGATGGCTGTGTAGTAGCTGTGCGACAGCAAGGCAGTGAGTGTGCAGCTTGCAGTGCAATGGTTGTGCAGTAGCAAGTGTCCCCGTGCACAGTATAGTAGCGGAAGAGTGAAGGCAGAGCAGAGCAAAGGATTAATCTTGCTCTGATACCATATCAATTTGGAATTGAAGAATACTACTATTTCATCTTTTTGTACAAATGAAAACAGCTATTATATGTACATACAATGATAGCACGCATGCAATAATTAAATATAAAAACCAATGGGCATCCTTGCTGCCCATGATGTAACTGACACGCCCATGATGTGTATCCACCATGTGCAAACCTTTGCTGACAAGGATTTTGGTATCCACATGCAACTGTCCAAACTGTCCAGAATGTGCATCCACATGCTACATTCCTGCTGTCCACTTTGTACAGATTGGGTGATTTCTTTTCCTTTAACACAAACAGTTTTTAACGGAATGATCAAAATCATGGATGGTAGACAATCCTAAGACTATTTCTATTGATTTTCAATCTTATGGACCATTTTTATTAATTATACAAATCTCATGGGCTATTTTGACTATTTAACCTAAAGTTAATTAATTTCAATGAAAATATTGAAAAATAAAGAATGAAACTTTACCATGGGAATCTGCAAGCAGAGAGAGAGTACCTGACAACCTGAAGACTGAGAGAAGAAGAACAGGTGAGGGAGAGAGGGAGAGATTTTGCAGCAGAAAGTGGAGAAAGAAAGGAGAGAAAAGGGGTACCCGAGCAAGCGGCTACCTATTTGATACCTGAAGTAATTTAATTGATTACCGTTGGATCAATCTCAACGGCTGAAACAAAACACTTTATGTGTCCAAGAAAAACGAGGCATTGGACTAAAAACTCCAGTCAGAACTCGGACTGATTCATCAGCCGCTCACTCTCTCTCCCTCTCTCTCTCTTGTTTTAAGTGATGGATCATATAAACTAGGGAAGTCAGATCTGCGTCGTTGTTTTCAGAGAAACACATCTTCTTCTCGGCCCTCGCCAATCTCCCAACTCCGAAACACACACACGAGGGAGGCCAAATGGGCATCAAAGACCACCTCTCTACCACTTTCGCCGATTCAATCCACGGCTGCGGCGGCTTCGTCGAGGTAAAAGACTTCATCTTTTTCACTGTTAGAGTTAATGGGTTTTACCCCTTTACCTGATCGAGTAGGCAATCTCCACTGTAAACTTGCAGGCTAGTTCTTCTCTGATCAAGGCCAGGAAGCCCACCGATGTTAAATTGGATTATTCTCACATCACGGTAAAACAATTTTTGGACTTACTGCCTGAAATTTCACTGCATTTTCGTCACTAATCGAAACCCAGATACGGGATATCGAACAAGTAACAAATTGATTTTGGGATTTGTTGAGCTTCGGACAGTTGATGGGTTGTTGAAGGATAGCACTCAATGTGCTCCCAATGGTTACTTCTTCGTTCCCGTATATGACAAGGTATTATTTCTTATTCTTTTTCGGCGTCGGATTTCGCTGGATCTTTTGCATTTCACGTGCTCTCATGCTTCAGTGATGATGTTGTGTTGTCGGTTAAATTATCGGAGGAGATGGCGAAGAGCCATACACTTGGTGTTGCTTAGTTTCTGCATCCAAAATGGGTGTGATCTCTTTAGCGTCACTTCCATTATTGTTTGACACATATTAAAGTTTATGACAGTAAAATTAAGAAAATTTAAATTTATAAACACACTAATACTTGAGGCACAGAGGGATCACACTCATTTTAAATACAGAAGATTTGATCACTGAAAGAAGACCTTATGGCTTAATATTATCGATTGTCATCATTTTTAATTCGATTCTTTTCTGTTAGCACAGAGGGATCACATTCATTTTAAAATTACCCCTTGTGAATTTGTTTTTATTATTTTCAGTTAGTTTTGATTCTTTTTGTTTAAGAGATTTTTTTAGTCCTATTAGTTTTGGTGAACATTGTGACCTCAAAATTAGGTTCTCGCTTTCTAATAATAAAATGAGTGAATGGATAACACACTTCTCGATACACATTATTTTAATTTATGATTGAATAAAATGAATTAAAAAATATCAAATAATAAAATTAATAATAAATGTGTGAAAAGTAATACATAGTGTGTAAATAATACATTGCTTATAAATTTATTCTCATCTCTATTCAGCTTTCCTTTTTTTTTTCTTCCTAATATTATATTTGATTTTAATTGGATCAGATTGGATTACCCACTTTCTCCTCTACTCCCACCTTTCGTGGGAAAACTAAAAAGGAAAACTAATGAAAAGGGCTTGAAAACTTTGAGTTTTAATGATAAGGACAAAATAAAGGGTAAAGTGAATAGTACCAGAATTGACTTTTTAGTGTAAAAATGTGGTTTTTCGTTAAAGTGAACAGTACCGGGTGTTTTTCGTTAAAGTTCCCAAACTAAAATCATTGGAATATCACTGTTTCACGTTTTATTTTTTATACACTGTTTAAAATAGAGTTACGGTGACATAATGACGCCATGACCATGAGAATGAGTAGCCTATTGGAATGGAAATCAACGATCATCGTAAATCAGACGCCATAGCTCTCTTCCTTAAAGAAATTTTTTATTGTAATCGAAACACGAGTAATACAATATGTGTATCTTTCATCGAGAAATTTTTAGTTGTGATAGAAATACGAGTGATTCACCACGTGTTTTATGTAAATAGTGGGAAATTTTATTTTTTAAGTTACTAATTTTTTTAACACACATATCTCATCATTTATATAACAATATATGATGTATCACTCCACATGCATTAATTAATTAATTAACTAAATAATATAAAAATTACATTCGACTAGGCCTCGACGAACCCAAACCCTTCGCCATCTGTCTCAGCACAAACTTCTGAATCTTCCCGGTCGATGTCTTGGGAAGCTCGTCCGTAAACACCACCGTTTTTGGCACCATGTATTTCGGCAGCTTCTTCCTGCAATACTCAATGATCTCCTTCTCCGTCGGCTTCGGCCTCACCTCACTCTTCAAGCTCACGAATGCACACGGCGTCTCCCCCCAAAACTCGTCCGGCCTCGCCACCACCGCCGCCTCGTTGACAGCCGGGTTCGTATACAGCACCGACTCCACCTCCACACTGCTCAGATTCTCGCCCCCGCTTATAATAACGTCCTTGGATCTGTCCTTAATTTCCAGATAGCCGTCGGGATGCATCACGCCCACGTCACCCGTGTAAAACCACCCGTCTTTCATGCACTTGGCTGTTCCCGATTGGTCTTTCAAATACCCTAGCATCACGCACCCGCCTCTCAAAACGACTTCGCCGAGCGACGTGCCGTCGCGTTTTACGCTGAGTCCCGAGTCCGGGTTTACCACGTCCATTCGGGTCAGCCCGACCGTCCTCACTCCCTGCCTCGACTTCAGCCTTGCTCTCTCAGTCGCCGGCAACAAATTCCACTTCCTCTTCCACGCGCACGACACCACCAGCCCCGCCGTTTCGGTCAGCCCATACCCGTGACTCACCACGAAACCCAGGGACTCGGTCCGGAACAGAACCGGAGCCGGCGGCGGAGCTCCGGCTGTCAGGATGTGAACCGGGTACTCGAGCTTTTCGGTTCCGGACGGGACGTTTGTGAGCATGTTCAGCACCACCGGCGCACCGCACATGTGGGTAACTCGGTATCGTTTGATCATGGAATAGATTATTTGGGCGTCGAACTTACGGACGCAGATGTTGGTCCCACCGACGGCTGCCATTCCGTAGGGGTAGCTCCACCCGTTAGCGTGGAACATCGGTAGGGTCCACAGGTACACCGGCTGTTTGGGTACACCCCAGTCGATCAGGGAATCGACGGCGATGATGAAGACCCCTCTGTGGGAGTGAACGACTCCCTTGGGAGACGATGTGGTCCCCGACGTGTAATTCAGCGTCATCGGAACCCACTCGTTCGACGGCGAGACCCACTCGAACCCCTCGTCGCCCCTGTCCACGAGGTCCTCGTACGTGCAAAGGAAGTCATCGAGTGGTGCTGCGCGTGACGGCGCGCCGGAATCTCCGGCGATGAGGACGAGTCGAGGGGAGGGGGTGTTTGGTGGGAAGAGAGAGATGGCTTCGAGGATTAGGGATTGCAATTCGTAGTCGACGAAGACGAGTTTTGACTCGCTGTGGCGCAGGAGTACGGAGACGGTGCGGCTGTCCAGGCGGGTGTTGATGTTGTTGAGGATGGCGCCGGACATGGGCACGGCGAAGTGGAGCTCGTACATGGCTGGGATGTTTGGGGAGAGAACGGACACCACGTTGCCTGTCTTGATACCAAGGGATGATATAGAGGAAGCCACGCGGAGACATCGACGGTGGGTCTGTGTCCAAGTGTAGGTGGTGTCTCCGTATATAACGGACGGGCAGTCGCCGTAGACGGTGGCTGCTCTTTCCAGAAAGCCCAAGGGTGTTAGAGGGGATGAGTTTGCTGACGTGGGCTTCAGATCTTCCATTATTTTTCTCTGGACTACACAGATGGTCTGAGCTAGCTGTGTTGTTTAGTTCAATCATGGAGTGCTTTATTTAACGACATCCTCGCCCCATCCTTTCTTCAAGAATTATTGTAAATTTTTTTATTTAAAATTAAATATAAATAATATTTAATAAAAATTAATAGTACAATATTCAATAAATAATTTAAGGAATCTCGAAATGATCCTCTGTCTATTTAATATATCTAGACCGATCTGGATGAGGCCGACGACAAAAATATTAGCACAAAAAAAAAAAAAAAAAAAAGCTCATGTGACTTTGATTTCGTCCAAGACATTTCACAAATAATATAGCTGTTTTGATGGATTTGTTTTTTTGGGTCAAAAGCTCATTCGATGGATAGATACAAATTAAGGATAATGCTTGTATTTTCTCATTTGTGAATAAACCCATATATTTATAAATGATGTATCTTTGACGGTACAGATTTTACAATTAGAATCGTTTAATTTTTTTAATTTTTATTTAAAGATCATCTATACAAAAATCACTTCTGTAAAAGATAATTTAGTGATTTAAATGTATACCAAGTAACATATTTATGATGAATTGTTTATTTATTTGATGAATTTGAATGGTTAAACGATCTTCAAGTCAAATAATTTTTTATAGGACTGATCTTCAAATGAATATTAAATAATTGAATGGTTTCAATTGTCAATTTTATTCAGTTAAGATACGTTATTCGCAATTGAAAAATATGTGCTTCCCCTGCGTAGGAGGATTTAAGTATTACCCAAATTCAAATAGTTTACTTATATATTATCGAAAAATGTAAAAGAGAGTTCTATTATAGCTTGGAAAATGTGAATTTGAAAGCTCATTTATTTTTCTCTCTTTAGAGTGATGTTACATGTATCAAATTTGTGCACACATAATGTGGCACATTATACACCATAATTTTTTTCTTCACAATGTTAGGGTTCTTTAAACCACATGGACTCATTTACTCTATTAAATATAAAAGGATTAATCCCACTAAGTGGATATTTTTATTCATTTGAATAACCTAAATCTAATAGAGAAAAATCAGAAAGAACTCTTTTTACTATATGTAAACATATAAAGCTTTCAACCCTTTTAGAAAAATACTTTGTACAGGCAGAGGTTGTCAACTTGCACACTTCAAATCCCAACCCTAACGCCAAACCCCACCACCTGTTTTTGTGCCATCACCACTCAGGCCGTCGCCTTCAGCCGCTCATCTCGCGTTGCTCAATTCAATTTTTCTTCTAAATTTTTTATAGGGACTTCCGAGATTTGAATCTTGGATCGGCACGTCACTGCATGCTGCATCATTTGATGTACAAATTTAGTATACCTAACAATATTTGTCTTTAAATTGACATGTCGACCTTCTAATGTTCACTTGGTTTCGTCTAAGTGATTTAACATCTTAGAGCATTTTTAATGAAGAAATGCAAAATATATAAAGGTTAAATTTGTCAAAGTATCGAAAACGGCACGCTGTAAAAACTCGTAAGTCCCCTAAAGTAATTCAAAAATGAAGCAAGCCGAAAAAAAAAAAGAAAAAAAAAAAGTGGGTGAAGTGAATCGGATGGTGCTTGGGAGGAGAGGATGAATATTGCACATTCCAAACCAAATCATGCCCGTAAAGAAGCAAATCAAGTCACCAACAGGTGGGCCAAATAAGGAAATAGCGAATAACGAAGGACCATTTGATACAAGGAACCTCATGAAGTTGATTGATGTCTTGTTATTGTTATTAGAAAATTTAAAATAAATAAGATGTGGAACACTCTTTTCTCTTTAAATCGTGAAAAGAGTTTGCTGCTTTTATAAAAAGCATAGAAAGATAATTCATCGGTATAAAATAATACCACGTAACAATATGCTATTGACACACATAGTTTACTTCTCACACATTTTCTCAAAATTTCACTATTTGAATCAATGAATTGAAGAAAGATCAATGACAAAAAAATTAAGAAAGGTGAGTAAAAATGAGTGTGTGAATTAGGTTTGGCAAATTGGTCATGTGTTGTCATGTTTGTGTCGTTTTCATGTCATAACCATTATCTTAACGAGTTCTTAAGAGGTGCCCCAATAACGACCCGATTTATTAACAGGTCGTGTCGTTCCTTGTCAAGTTAACAAGTCATGCAATAAAATGTCGTGTCTAATGTTAGACGCTATCTTATCGGGTCTTTAACATGTGACTTGATAACAAGCTGACACATTAACAGGTTACTCGATAACAACCCGAATCGGTAAAAGGTAGAATTGAATCTCGTTATTTTCATGTCGCTTCGTGTTGAGTTAACGAGTCGTATAAGAAATTGTCAGACTTAGTGTGAATGGCACTAAGAAAGTATTTATCTTCAATAAGGTGTTTGGGCCCAAAATATTAGTTTGGGCCGAGTATAGAATTATTCTCGGCCCA